TTCCTCTTTGTTACATTCCCCTTGATCATGCCCTACCAGGTCTCCCACACCCACCTCCCCACCAATTTGGATCGCTTGTTGTTCCCTTGTCCCTGGGTTGCTAACAACTAGTTTCATGGAGGAAATCAAAGAACATACTAAGGACTATGCAAACAATAAGAGCCAATTTTAGAGGAGTCCCTTGGGGAAATCAATACAATTATTTTTTCAAGTAGTGTCTATGGAAAATGGCAACAGTGCTGATGTCACCTGGAGTTTACAGAATGCCTTTATCCCTGGCCCAGGAGTTCTTAAAGTTGACTCACTGGGAAGACATGGTTCTTACCCATATTATTAGTAACTCCAACAGAGTCATTGTATGTTTTATCTGAGAACAGAGCAGCGAAGAATAGAGTAATAAGAAAGAACAAGGAAGACTTTGCTTAGAACTGCCTAAAAGAAAGGTTTGGATAATGAAACCACTACGAAGATGGGACATTCTCGATAGGAATGAGGAAAATTGTACTGACAGCACAATACAAAACAAAACTCTGATGGTTCCAATAGTGTATAGTGACCCAAAAGGAAGGCGGCGAGTGAGTCTGACACGAACTTCTTTAGAATTATTCAAACAAACAGTACCAGACTAAGTTATCAGAGAGGAACTGAGAGCTGCACTGTACTCAGCAGTTCCTAGAAACGGCAGTTACTCATCTGTGAGGTACAGCCATAGGTACCCGAATGAGAAGAAAGCTAATACTCATCCTATTAATATTATAAATATATTAGTTCAGCTATTCTTGGAAGAGTTTTATGATGAAAACTATCGTCACAATTTTATAGAAACAAAAATTTGTTCAAGGTCACACAAGTAGTAAAAGACAAAGGGGCAGATCCAGGCTCAGTCCAGCTGCTATCAAATTTTACTACATTCCAGTACCTTCCATGGAAGAGTACAGGGCAACCAGTACCATCTCTGTAAAGGGGCAAGAACATGATGTGGTTGGCAGTGCTTGAAAGCTGAGGTGTAAATGTAAAATCTTCGTTACTTCTAAGTTCATAAGCAATTCCAAAATTCAAAGTAATAAGCATAAGTAATTTCCTAATCAAAGCGGGGTTCATAATGAAAAGGCAGGAAAATATCTTGATTTATAGGCCAGACCTAATGGAGGGCTTTGGGTGAGCCTGATGCACCGCTTTGCCTTTCCCTATTTTAGTATAGAGGGATGGAAGCCTGGGGGCATGATGGAATCCTAGCATTAAGCTGCAAATTACAACGTCAGCAGTTCGAACCTACCTCAAATTTGACTCTGCTACAGAGTCACTCTGTGGCATTATTGACTTGGTAGTTTGAGCACAAAGGGAAGAGGACAACATGAATGAATCTTAAGAGATGATAACCCAAATCAAAACTAAACCCACTGCCAACGTCTGGGTTCCAACTCACTGTGACTCTACAGAAAAGAGTGGAACTGCCCCATCTTTCACCTGTAGAATGGCTGATGGGTTCAAACTGCCGACCTTCTGGTTGGCAACTGAACTCTTAACCACTATGCCATGAAGGTTCCGACTGCTGATATAAAGGTCTTCTGAATGAAAGAATGGTGGTGTAAACATTCAGAGAGAACTAGACTATTCATGAGAGATTGGGAAGTAAAATTTGAGACCCTTTTCAGAATCGATCGAATGGTTCAACTCATTAGCTTCAAAAGCGCTATAAACAGAGCAAATCTAAATATGACTTCCCATTGGAGAGGGCATTTTAGAGCTGAAGTTTCAGCTCTCTCCTTAATAGCCATGTGACTGGGTAGGCCTGTCTCTCTGAGCCTCAAATTCCTATTAAACTACATAACATGGAGTTATATACTCATTTTCAAGGGGAAAATATCCCTTTACATGGTGGAGTGAAGGGAACATAAAGACAATACAATCTCCTTTATAGAGAAGAACTGTTCACGTTCTAAAGTGAAGAAGGTCTCTCCATCTAAGACAGTGTGGGGCATCTTTTCTTCCGCCAAGGGCTATTTGATATTCATCATATATTTGATATATATCATTCTCAGGCCATCGTGGTCAAACACTGAATTAAGTCACTCATAATGTGATCGTTGGAAATGCTTCTCTTGATGAGGTCTGTAATGTTAGTTGGTATTGATGCTTTCTTGCGAGCCTTATGTGGCTCGAGGGCTCGACGTTCTCCACCCCGATTTAAGAGGACTAAAGTTCTAAGGAGGCTCTCTATTCCTGTCGAGTGAGTCCACGGGCAGCTCTGCCCTGTCCTGTAGGGTTGCTACGAGTCAGAACTGACTCCATGGCAGTGAGATTAGAGGGAAGAGAAGCCTTGGGGACACAGTGGCTGAGTGGTTGGGTGCTACCTGAAAGGCCAGCAGTTTGAAGCCACCCTTTGCTCCACTGGAGGGAGAGGGGGCAGTCTGCTTCTGTGAAGATCACAGCCCCTGAAACCCTATGGCAACTCCCTCTGTCCTACAGGGTCACTATGAGTCATACACACTGATAGACATGATGGCATGAAAAAATCAGAGGAAAGAGAGAAAATATGGTACCCCTATGTGATTTTAGTTTCCTAAGAGTCCTGTTTATGCCTCACCATCAATTAGGAAAGATTATTAATAAGTACAGTGAACCCTCGCCACTTCGCGCTTCGACTTCCGCGGCTTCACTCTATCGCGGTTTTTGTGTAACAGCGCATGCTCTGTCATTACTGCCACTGATTGGCTCATACTGTACACGCTTCTGTCTGCATCGCTACGTATCAGAGCTACGTATCAGATGCATTTTTGCTTTTGTACATTGTAATGTAATTGTTTGCGATTTTTAAGAAATTTTATCTAAGCCCTATGATGGCTCCTAAACGAGCTGCTTCTTCTAAGCCTTCTGACAATAAAAATAAGCGCCAGAGGAAGATGCTCACCATCCAGGAAAAGGTAAAACTTTTGGATATGATCAAAGATGGCAAGAAAATCGTGGAGGTTGCACGCCATTTCGACTTGAATGAGTCTTCCGTTCGCTCCATCCGTTGTACTTCATAATATAATAAATAATAAATGATAATTGTAACGTCCAAAATGTTTTACTGCATTTTCCCTTTTTCGTTTAATAAATTGGGTAATACAAGTGTAATGGTGACTAAGTGTGTAAGGGTGTTTTTTCATGTCCTCTATGCTCTAACTACGAAAATATTTGATTTACAAATAAGGAATCCCACTTCGCGG